AGGGGGTCAACGCCCCCGGGGGCCCGGTCTGTACAGGCCTCCGGTGGATCAAGCCTGATCAACCAGGCTGTTGCTGCTGGCTGCACGCAAACCAACGTACGAGCCACAGCCCGGCTGATCCGGAACTGACTTTAGGTGCTTGTCCAGTGCCAGCTTGAAGACTGCCAGGGGTCTGTTGGTAATCCCCCTTATGTGTGCTGGGAGGCAGTTGAACAGTCTCGGGCCCCTGACATTATTGTATGGTCTCTTAACGTGCTAGTGACCCCCTGCTTTTCATTGGGGGGATGGTGCATCGTCTGCCAAGTCTTTTGCTTTCGTAGTGAGTGATTCTCGTGTGCAAGTTCGGTACTAGTCCCTCTAGGATTTTCCAGTGTATATAATCATGTATCTCTCCCTCCTGCGTTCCAGGGAATACAGGTTTAGGAACCTCAAGCGCTCCCAATAATTGAGGTGTTTTATCTCCGTTATGCGCGCCGTGAAAGTTCTCTACATTTTCTAGGTCGGCAATTTCACTTGCCTTGAAAGGTGCTGTTAGTGTGCAGCAATATTCCAGCCTAGATAGAACAAGTGACCTGAAGAGTGTCATCATGGCTTGGCCTCCCTAGTTTTGAAGGTTCTCATTATCCATCCTGTCATTTTCTAGCAGATGCGATTGATACAATGTTATGGTCCTTGAAGGTGAGATCCTCCGACATGATCACTCCCAGGTCTTTGACGTTGGTGTTTCGCTCTATTTTGTGGCCAGAATTTGTTTTGTACTCTGATGAAGATTTAATTTCCTCATGTTACCATATCTGAGTAAATGAAATTTCTCATCGTTGAACTTCATATTGTTTTCTGCAGCCCACTGAAAGATTTGGTTGATGTCCGCCTGGAGCTTTGCAGTGTCTGCAATGGAAGACACTGTCATGCAGATTCGGGTGTCATCTGCAAAGGAAGACACGGTGCTGGGGCTGACATCCTTGTCTATGTCGGAAAATGAGGATGAGGAACAAGATGGGAGCGAGTACTGTGCCTTGTGGAACAGAGCTTTTCACCGTAGCTGCCTCGGACTTTACTCTGTTGACGACTACTCTCTGTGTTCTGTTAGTGAGGAAATTATAGATCCATCGACCGACTTTTCCTGTTATTCCTTTAGCACGCATTTTGTGCGCTATTACGCCATGGTCACACTTGTCGAAGGCTTTTGCAAAGTCTGTATATATTACATCTGCATTCTTTTTGTCTTCTAGTGCTTTTAGGACCTTGTCTTTAGTGATCCAATAGTTTGAGACAGACAAGAGCGACCTGTTCTAAACCCATGTTGCCTGGGTTGTGTAACTGATGGGTTTCTAGATGGGTGGTGATCTTTGCTTCTTAGGACCCTTTCAAAGATTTTTATGATATGGGATTTTTAGTGCTATTGGTCTGTAGTTCTTTGCTGTTGCTTTACTGCCCCCTTGTGGAGGGGGGGCTATGTCTGTTGTTTTTAGTAACTGTGGACGACCCCCGTGTCCATGCTCCCTCTCCATAGGATGGAAAAGGCTCGTGATAGGGGCTTCTTGCAGTTCTTGATGAACACAGAGTTCCATGAGTCTGGCCCTGGGGCAGAGTGCAGGGGCATGTCATTTTTTCGCCTGTTCAAAGTCATTTGGCGTCAGGATAACATCGGATAGGCTTGTGTTCATCTAAATTTTTTCTAATATGAGATGGAAGGCTTTCATGCCTGGATATTTTGGACCAGTCATTTATGAGGTCATTTGCTTTTCAAGAGGAAAGGGATGAGCAACATTGCCAGTCTTTTTCCTGGTTATTTATTTATACCTTTCCAAGCCAAACTCAAAGGGGTGGACCTATTTAATCCACTAACAAACTGTTCCCATTCCTGTTGCCTAAGTTCTTCCTTTCTATTCCTTGCATTTGTTATGCAGCTTGGAACGTCTGAGCAGGTCTGGGGTTCTACATTCACGGTATGCTTTACATTCCTCCTAGCTGCATGTGTTAGATTGCGTAGCTGTGGATCATATAGTTTTACATTGGTTTTTATTGTTATTTATAGTGGAGGGTCTTTGTTTCCTATTCCTGCCCATTTGATTGTGAGAAACTCTCAATTAGTGGTAATTAATCATCATTAATTTTTGTGTGCCAATGGGCTCTAATTCTTATCCAATTGATCCAATGGTTAATTAAGTTTTCTGTGTTCTGGTTTGAATTAATTTCCTCCTCCTGTATTATTGCTCTTGTTGTTGGAGATTGCTCCAAGATTTACAGTTGTTAGTCTTGGGAAGTGATCAAGACGAAGATTCACTTAGCATCAGCATAAGATGTATTAAATCAGACACAGATCTAGTATGCCACCATATATTGATGTAGGCTCAGTAGTGCCCACAATTCGAACATTATATGCTCATTTAGCAACCCACTAGTTTGTTCCATTGGTGTTTGTTATGACCCACCAATATTCTTATGTCTGGCATTAAATTCCAAGATGTTGGTAGGTTCACTATGAGCGATCTGTAAGCATCAGGTCGATGTCGCTGGGGCATAGTATTAAAAATGTTTATGGAAAAACGCCTGCATTAACTGTTACACCATGGATACTGCATGTTAAATCGATTCTGCAAGGAAAGATGTGAATGTGGCAAGTGGCCCGGTGGCTGGTGCTTAACTCGCTTCCAGAGGAGAGGGCCAGGTGGTTCCCGGTGGCTGGAAAGCTCCCGCTTTCTCACACCGGAGGGCCCGGGTTCGATTCCCGGCGGGTGGAAACATTTCGACACGTTTCCTTACACCTGTTGTCCTGTTCACCTAGCAGCAAATAGGTACCTGGGTGTTAGTCGACTGGTGTGGGTCGCATCCTGGGGGACAAGATTAAGGACCCCAATGGAAATAAGTTAGACAGTCCTCGATGACGCACTGACTTTCTTGGGTTATCCTGGGTGGCTAACCCTCCGGGGTTAAAAATCCGAACGAAATCTTATCTTATCTTCTTTCTGACATACATCACACAACAGTTGGTTGACCTTAGGTTATAAGCTGCATATCCCTGCAAGTTTGGTGGAGGTGCTCCATCTTTCAATCTACATTCCTGCAAACAGATGACATCAATATTATTGGTTGCACTAATATGATGTAAGTCAGGCAACCGCTTCCTGATGGAAGCAATGTTCCATGAAAAGATGGAGGCAGGGACCGGAACATCCAACAAAATTGTGTGTGCACTCTCCTAATTGTGGTTGTAAGGGTCGATTTACAACTCCTGGCCCCGCCTCTTCGCTGACCGTAACTAGGTCCACTTCTTGCTGTACTCTCCTATTTGTGGTTACAAGGGTCGATTTACAGCTCCTAGCTATGTGTTAGTGAATGTATTTCTAAAATTTAAGACTAGGTTTAGTTTTACCTTGATGCTATATTTAAATATAACATTAATGTAATGAGAATAAAGTACATTAAGATGCATGGTACGTATTTGGCTCCTGATCAAGGTCTTACGGAAATGTTTACCCTTAAATGTGTATTATGTATGCCATGTACTTTGTATATTGTATGACAGTTTTTTTTATATTAAAGCGAAAGTGTAATGAGCAAAATGTGTTTATTTTCAGTTCAGATATTCAAACTTGCTTGAGAAATGGTTGATGGCTGCTGGCGTCCTGGCAGCTCTGATAGCTGGACTCTGTATGCCAGCCATGTTTATTCTCTTCGGTGATGTTACAAACGCTTTTGTTTACAATGACTTGTTAAGTAGCATTGATAATACAACAAACATTACATTATACATCGGTGATATCCCGGAAAATGTAACATTGGACGTGGACGAGTAAGTAGTTTGTCTTTTTTTAAGAGATTTTGGTAATCTTATCTATAAATTTGTATGCTAGTTTGCGTTCCTTTGTACGTGTATACAACTTTATTTCAAAAGGGTGCATGTATTTTAATTAGTGTAATAATGATTATGTTAAGTAAAATGATACGTGCAGCTAATGCAACATTTTTATTATGGCAACGTTTCGCGCTCAAGGAGTTTTGTCATGCCGTAACGGCTTGACAAAGCTCCTGGAGAGCGAAACGTTGCCACAATAAAATTGTCGCATTAGTAGCATATGTGACTTTACCTAACACATTGTTGGTAATTCTACCAACAATATTATTACAATAAAAAACATTTTTTAAAATATGAATATATCCTTTGGTTTATATAAATTAGATTCATTTATAATTAATAGAACTATTGTACAACTGTGATAAATTTCTTTAGTGTTAAGTAGTCAGTAAGTCATTAAATTAAGTCGGCCCATAATGCCTTGGCATAAAAGAGGCTCTCTTTGCACTGCAACTCATTATTGTAAATACATAACCTCAATGTAATACTTGCAAAGAAACAAAGAAATTTGAATTTGAATGATCCTGTCGATTTCTACATACGTACAGACTACACAGCAAATCTGATGCCATTTACCCATTTCAAGTTGTATAACCCTCATCTTAAAAAAAGATGAGGGTACTCTTTTTTTGGAATTTGAGTAAACTTACTGTCTACTATAAATAAAAACAGGTGTACAACTTAAACTATGATCAATTTTTCTAGTATTAAGTAGTCTGTAAGCCATTAAATTTAGTTTGCCCATAATGCCATGGCATGATAGTGGCTCTCATTGCACTGAAACTCATTATTGTAATTACATAATCTCAATGTAATCTTGCAAGGAAATAAAAATTTGTATTTGTATTTTTGTATTAGCAGATATGAATTTTCATACATAGCCTTTAGGGACATGTCTTATGTTCTTGTTAAATCCAATGGAGGTTATTTAGTAAAAAAAAATATATAAAAAAAATTGGGGGTAATAAACATAAACAGTTGTGCAACGGTGATACTGAATTGCAGAATATACTCCGAAAAACTGACGAGGGCATATGAAGGGGAAGTAGCACTTTACAAGCTATGGACTTAGTTTGGTTTAATATGTTTAATATGCACCCCATACCCATAATGTGGGTGGTAGTCAAAAGATTAAAGATGCACATATCGTGGCAATTGACTGGACCGCAAAGTTTTGAGAGAAAAAAGTTAGTGGTAATGAACTAATTTATATGTATATATCTGGTTAAAATCGTAGAGTCGTTTATGCAGACATACCTGGAGGCTTCTTTAAACCCTTTAAAAGCTTTTTATGTAGGACGTTAGTGCTATCGGTAAAATATGTTAAATGGTTATAACTATGACCATTTTTAAAGGGGGGGGGGGGACTGGTAAGCCAGGGGAAGACCTCGGTCAGATGACCAAAAGCTCCAACGGCGGGTCATCATCTGACTAAGACCCGCGTCAGGAAACACTTGTCCTGTTTCCTGACAAACTTTACCTAATCTGCTATCAGTCTGGAATTCTTTGCAACTGCTTTACTGCTACCTTCGTGGATTGGGGCTATATCTGTTGTGTTTAGTGACTGGTATGACCCCCGTGTCTAGGCTCTCAGAATATTTATGGCACGTGAAAGTGATTTCTTACAGTTTTTGATGAACACTGAGTTCCACGAGTCTGGGCCAGGGGCAGAGTGCATGAGCATGTCACTTATTGCTTTTTCAAAGTTCTGTAATGTTAGGGGTATTTCAGAAATTCTGGAATTAACCAAATTTTGAGTCTCGGCCATAAAAAAATCATTTAGGATGGGTCGTGGATGTAGTACTCAGTGCAGCTAGTCAGGGTTTATTAAGAAACAAGTTTAGCCAGGGTAATGCTTTTTTTTACACGAATATCAGTTTTACGGGCTAAGAGCTGTTATTAAACCTCATTTCATATCAAAGCCCAGCCCTATCCCAACGTTTCCACCCGTATCGGGGATCGAACCCCCTGTATGGGGTAGAAACACCAATTGGACATGCTTCCATACACCTGCTTCTCCTGTTCAATAAGTAGGTACCTGGGTGTTAGCCGACTGGTGTGGGTGGCATCCTAGAGGGGTGGTAGTATACTTTTGATAGGGCTGGGTTTCGAAATTGGCTAAGGTAAGATAACAGCTCTTATTTATTATTATTATTTGGACATGATACGTAGTTGTACAAAAGAAATCCAGTGGTTGAGTGTACATGCCAAAAGCCCCTTGTATGCAGAGCCTGTAAAATAAATGATGTGTAAAAAAAATGGTTAAACCTTGATTATTTATTATTATAATCAAGGGGGAAGCGCTAAACCCAGAGGATTATACAGCGCCTGGGGAGGGGATGTGGAAGGCATTCAGGCTTAATTCGGGGAACTGGAGCACAGATCCAATTCCCTAAATCAAGAGCCCCTCACCAACATCAAGGAACCTTCCTTGAGGGGTTAAACCTTGATCCTAGTGGTAATTGCATCAGTGGGATGTATGTAGTCTTTCCAGACCTTTAACAATTAACAAATTTGGTAGTGTATATAAGAGTACCTTTATTACATATTTGCCCTATTCCATGTGTTATATTCTCAAAATTTCATATGTTTCAGAATTATAGAAATGATCAAGGAGAAATACGGAATTAAGGACTTCTTTGAAGAGGTAGTAAGATTTGGAGTAGGAACAATTGTCATAGGTGCAATCCAGATGGTGATGGGTTACATATTTGTGACAGCTATGAACTATGCTGCAGAGGGTCAGGTATGTCACCTTACACATTCCAGGTATGTCACTCTTACACATACAAAGACTCATAATAATGGTTATTGTAGCATCTTCATGATGGCTTTCTAGATATACCTGTACAGTACCCTCATCTGTACAACCTGTAACACTTTACATTTTCCAGTAGATGGAAGCTTCAGGCCCGTGGCCTGGTAGGCAAAGCTCTCACTTCACACTCAGAGGGGTCTATGGTTTGATTCCCGGCAATTGTGGAAACATTGGGTGTGTTTCCTCACACCTGTTATACCTGCTCGCCCATTAATAAAAATGGGTACCTGAGTGTTATTCGACTAACGCGACGGGCTGGAGTTTTGAGACTCTCTGACCGCGGGTTCAATCCCGGCCGGGGTATGGTTTGTTATTCGACTGGTGTGGGTCGCATCCTGGGAGAAAACTGACCTAATTTGCCGAAAATGCTCTACATAACAAGCGGCTTTCTGTATAGTAGTATGTCATTGATGTCAGCTAGGCCTGTATACCTTGTACATGTACTTGTAGAAATGAAGATACAGTGGACCTTCGGTTATCAGCTGTTCTGCTTAATGGCCAACTCGGTTAACAGCCGGTTTTTCAGCTTCTGGTTATCGACCGTTATTTCACTAATTGGCCGTATTGGACACGTCCACCTGCCTGCCTGCCAACCACTGGCATGTTCATGAGTCAGTCTGGCTGTGTCTCTGGGCGAATTAGGACACTTCTACTCATTCATCCAAACATCAAGAAAGCTAATGTTGCAAAAGGGAGTTTAGCAGGGAGTGTAGCAGGCATGCAGGGAGTGTAGCAGGCATGCAGGGAGTGTAGCAAGTATGTAGGGAGTAAGTTGTAGTCAGGCAGGCAGGGAGTGTAGTAGGGAGGCAGGGTGTAGGAGGAAGGCAGGGAGCATAGCAGGCATGCAGGGAGTGTAGCAGGTAGGGAGGGAAGTAACCCCAGAGAGGGCTTTGATACCTGAAGTCCTTATGGAGAGGGATTCCCCTTCCAAACAATAATCAGTCCTTCCTCCCTCTCTCTCCTCCTCCCTGTCTTCCATAAGCCAACAAGAGTCTTCAATAAAGGTATGTAATAGTGATTTAAATGTTCATTTATTTATTTTATTTAGTTCTCCTTGTTTTGTGTATGTAAAACTATAACTTATCTTTAAAAAATATATTTTTTGTTAATATTTTTGGGTGTCTGGAACGGATTAATTGTATTTATATTAATTCTTATGGGAAATATTTCGGTGTTAGGCCATTTCGGTTTTAGGCCGACCTTCTGGAACGGATTATGGCCGATAACCAAGGGTCCTTTGTATTATTATTATATTATTATTATTACATATTTCTCATGTGTTTAGAGTCATTAGCTTAAGAGGAATGTAGGTACAGAGGGTTAAAATATATTTACATTAACACCTATCATTTCACACTTCTGCTGTAGCATCCTAGATAACTAGTTCCACTATATTGAAGCCAATCATGCAAAGCTGTATCTCGGCTGCATCTTAGACAGGCATAATACTCTTTCAGATGTCACATTAAGATGTCATTTATTTCATTCTCATACACTGTTTGCTTTCATCCTAAGTTTTCCTCACTTATAATACAGTACTACTTCTGTTGTCTTTGTTTTGGCACTTGTATTCTACCCTCTGATATTCTTACTCCTTAAAATTCTATTATCCTAACAGAAATAAGCCAGGCTTCTTGACTTTCCTAGGTTACCCTGTGTTAATAAGCCAAGCAAAAAACTGTAATCATCTATTCCCATAACACCAAGTGATCCTCACTGTGACCATCTCTACTGCTTAGCAACTACTTTTCATGCACCTGCCAGTCTTTACAGTATATAAGTTTCGTCCATTCTAGGTAATTCATAGCTAGAACTTCATGGCACCAGCCACTTTCCTTCACATTCAGTTTACGTACAACTTTTATGTATAAATTCCTTTTTTGTAGTTGTGTAATAGGTACATAAATTCAACACTTTTTTTTTCCTGGAGGGTGTTTCGGGGATCAACACCCTTGCCGGGTCCATGAACAATTCTCACAGTGGATCAGGATCTGATCAACCAGGCTGTTACTGCCAGCTGCACGAATTCTAGACTTTTACATTTAAACTAATTTTACAAACAGTTCCTGTTACTTATTTTTATGTAAGGAATAACCTTCTGTAAGTCATTCCTTACATAAACTAAACATGCGACTAATTAATACTCGTCTCTCAGGCTGTAGGGGGCAATGTTTTGGCATAAGGTTGTGAAATGCAAATGTGCAAGACTATCCCACAAATTGGAAATGATACTTAGTCAGCTGGTGTGAAAATGTGTGTGCACTTGCAGGCTTACATACATACTTACATACCCACATATAGTTACAGGAAAGGATTTATACTTATTTTGGGACTTTATCTTTGTGAATAAGTATTAGTAAAGTTAGCAAAATTATCATTAGTTTTGTGGCAAGATAATTTTGACACATTAATGGCCTTAATAACATGCACTCTGACTTACAGGTATATAGGCTTCGGGGAATGTTCCTGCAGTCCATTCTCAAACAAGAAATTGGCTGGTTTGACACTCACCAAACAAATGATTTTGCTAGCAGAGTGACTGAGTATGTAAACTTGTATTTAAGTGTTCTTCAATGCAAAAACATTGTCAGCTTCACGAATTTTTTGAAGTACTTTTATTTTAAGGTCATACTGTAGCTCAGTGCATACACAGTTGAAATAGTTACCATGATTCCAAGCTATATTTTCTTAATATTATTCGTATTTACTAATACTTGGGTACTCTTGTGGTTTTTCCAGAGATCTGAACAAATTGCAAGAAGGTATTGGAGAGAAGGTTGGCATGTTCTTGTTCTTCATGACTATATTTCTTGCTTCAATCATCAATGCTTTTATTCATGGATGGGAGCTGACTCTAGTTATCCTCTCAGTTTTCCCTATTCTGGGAATAGCAACTGGTATTATTGCAAAGGTTAGTGCAGTAGTGAGTTCTGAAGTTTTTTTTTTAATGAATGCCATACTGTAATAATTTGCTTGTCATACATTAAAGAGCATGAGTATCAAAATGGAACTCATTAAAGGAAAGTGTTCTTAGTTAAGTGAACTCCTTGGATATGTTTATACCTGGCAGGTGGCAATACACATGCATTTAATACATGATGTCTATTCTCTTAAAAATAACATCAGTATCATTTATTTTAAGAGTTTCATGTTTGGTGCACATTTTCAACATTATCCTGCATAATATTGTTTTTAAACTCGCAGGTTCTGCCTGGATTAGGCTTAGAGTTCCTGCATCTATATTAAATATGAACCATCCTCATCTTATTTCTAAACCTGTTCCTTGGCAATATCTTCATTAGTGTTAATTTATAGGCATGCACTATTAAAATATTATTGTAATTATAAGGTGTGTCAACTTCATTTAACATAAGCCGCAAGTGGATCATAGCTTTCATTTCATTAATTGGCTTTATTTATCTAATGTGAATGTTTTAAAAACTTATTCAATGAGTCACTTGTGGAATGAATAAATACTGAAGTGGGGGGGGGGGGATGTCCTTGAGAAGAATAAACTAGGGCAAAACTGCTGATGGGTGCTAACTAGACATGCAGTTAAGCCAGGCAGGGGATCTTTAAAAACATACCAATATGGCTTTGGCATAACAATAGGATTAAAATCATATGGTTACAATTGTTTATTTAGTGAACTGGCACCTGCGGGCAGGCTGCTTCTTGTTTTCTCTATGCCTTTTCTCCTTTCTACTCTGCTTTCTGTTATATGATGGCTTCCTTAAATGTGTGAAGGCTTAACAAGCAAGTGAAATTTAAGACAGTGCTGCTTCAAAAACTGTTTACTGGCTTTAAAGAATTGAAAGGTCAAATGAAGATTTTCTTTGGTCACTGCCATCAAGGAGAGGTTTGAAGAAGTAGCAGGGAATTAGAGGGACGTGTCAAATCTTAAATTTAGCTCCTGTCAATGAATTCTGCTATTGTTTAGTATGGTATAATCATAGCAAAGGCAAGTGCATACTAATTCCTCTCCATCTTCCTCCGTCCTTGTAAGACTTGCAGATGCACTGAATGTTTGTCAATTAGGATAGTGATAAAAAGAAAAACCACCACTTTGTTTATAGAAATTTTATGCTAGTACATTTTAACAGAACTTTAAGAGGTTCCGATGTTTTAATTTAAGAGGACCTGCTTAATAAACTCATATTCATCACTAGAAAAAACATGATTGAATAATTTTTTTTTCTTACTGATATGACAGTTTTAGATTTCATCCTTAAAACTGTAGTAGATAATAAGGATATTGAAAATGTGTGTGCACTGAAGGAATCCCTTACAAATATGTATTTAATACGCATGATATTCCCTGTATGAAAGATAGGTAGTAACTGGATATGCAGTAAATTGAAAACACAGACAAAGCAAGCTCTGCCTGCATCCTTGATATAATACAATATTCCCACTTAGTTTCAAGTTATTATTATTACAGGTTCAGTCAAGTCTGTCAAATGTAGAGATGAAGGAATATGCAAGAGCTGGGAGCATAGCAGAAGAGGCAATCTCTGCCATCCGAACTGTGGTGGCCTTTGGTGGGGAGAACAAGGAAGTGTCTAGGTACATGTTTTTACTGCTGGATTTTAATCTTTATTTTCTTATTTTTGCTCTATGTTTGTTAATCATATTATTAAACTTATATCATAATGCATTTAAAATTAATGGGTTATTTATTACTGCTAAATTATAGAGGGGCAGCTGATATATCGGATCATTATTTAGTTGTAGCTACAGTTAGAGTAAGAGGTAGGTGGGAAAAGAGGAAGGTGGCAACAACAAGTAAGAGGGAGGTGAAAGTGTATAAACTAAGGGAGGAGGAAGTTCGGGTGAGATATAAGCGACTATTGGCAGAAAGGTGGGCTAGTGCAAAGATGAGTAGTGGGGGGGTTGAAGAGGATTGGAACAGATATAAAAATGCAGTATTAGAATGTTGGGCAGAAGTTTGTGGTTATAGGAGGGTGGGGGCAGGAGGAAAGAGGAGTGATTGGTGGAATGATGAAGTAAAGGGTGTGATAAAAGAGAAAAAGGTAGCTTATGAGAGGTTTTTACGAAGCAGAAGTGTTATAAGAAGAGCAGAGTATATGGAGAGTAAAAGAAAGGTGAAGAGAGTGGTGAGAGAGTGCAAAAGGAGAGTAGATGATAGAGTGGGAGAGGCACTGTCAAGAAATTTTAATGAAAATAAGAAAAAATTTTGGAGCGAGTTAAACAAGTTAAGAAAGCCTAGGGAAAGTATGGATTTGTCAGTTAAAAACAGAGTAGGGGAGTTAATAGATGGGGAGAGGGAGGCATTAGGTAAATGGCGAGAATATTTTGAGGAACTTTTAAATGTTGAGGAAGAAAGGGAGGCGGTAATTTCATGCACTGGCCAGGGAGGTATACCATCTTTTAGGAGTGAAGAAGAGCAGAATGTAAGTGTGGGGGAGGTACGTGAGGCATTACGTAGAATGAAAGGGGGTAAAGCAGCTGGAACTGATGGGATTATGACAGAAATGTTAAAAGCAGAGGGGGATATAGTGTTGGAGTGGTTGGTACTTTTGTTTAATAAGTGTATGAAAGAGGGGAAGGTACCTAGGGATTGGCAGAGAGCATGTATAGCCCCTTTATATAAAGGGAAGGGGGACAAAAGAGATTGTAAATATTATAGAGGAATAAGTTTGCTGAGTATACCAGGAGAAGTATACAGTAGGGTTATAATTGAAAGAATTAGAGGCAAGACAGAATGTAGGATTGCAGATGAGCAGGGAGGTTTCAAGAGTGGGTAGGGGATGTGTAGATCAAGTGTTTACATTGAAGCATATATGTGAACAGTATTTATATAAAGGTAGGGAAGTTTTTATTGCATTTATGGATTTAGAAAAGGCATATGATAGAGTGGATAGGGGAGCAATGTGGCAGATGTTGCAAGTACATGTATATGGAATAGGTGGTAAGTTACTAAATGCTGTTAAGAGTTTTTATGAGGATAGTGAGGCTCAGGTTAGGGTGTGTAGAAGAGAGGGAGAATATTTCCCAGTAAAAGTAGGTCTTAGACAGGGATGTGTTATGTCACCATGGTTGTTTAATATATTTATAGATGGGGTTGTAAAAGAAGTAAATGCTAGGGTGTTCGGGAGAGGGGTGGGATTAAATTATGGGGAATCAAATTCAAAGTGGGAATTGACACAGTTACTTTTTGCTGATGATACTGTGCTTATGGGAGATTCTAAAGAAAAATTGCAAAGGTTAGTGGATGAGTTTGGGAATGTGTGTAAAGGTAGAAAGTTGAAAGTGAACATAGAAAAGAGTAAGGTGATGAGGGTATCAAATGATTTAGATAAAGAAAAATTGGATATCAAATTGAGGAGGAGGAGTATGGAAGAAGTGAATGTTTTCAGATACTTGGGAGTTGACGTGTCAGCGGATGGATTTATGAAGGATGAGGTTAATCATAGAATTGATGAGGGAAAAAAGGTGAGTGGTGCATTGAGGTATATGTGGAGTCAAAAAACGTTATCTATGGAGGCAAAGAAGGGAATGTATGAAAGTATAGTAGTACCAACACTCTTATATGGATGTGAAGCTTGGGTGGTAAATGCAGCAGCGAGGAGATGGTTGGAGGCAGTGAAGATGTCCTGTCAAAGGGCAATGTGTGGTGTAAATATTATGCAGAAAATTCGGAGTGTGGAAATTAGGAAAAGGTGTGGAGTTAATAAAAGCATTAGTCAGAGGGCAGAAGAGGGGTTGTTGAGGTGGTTTGGTCATTTAGAGAGAATGGATCAAAGTAGAATGACATGGAAAGCATATAAATCTATAGGGGAAGGAAGGAGGGGTAGGGGTCGTCCTCAAAAGGGTTGGAGAGAGGGGGTCAAGGAGGTTTTGTGGGCGAGGGGCTTGGACTTCCAGCAAGCGTGCATGAGCGTGTTAGATAGGAGTGAATGGAGACAAATGGTACTTGGGACCTGACAATCTGTTGGAGTGTGAGCAGGGTAATATTTAGTGAAGGGATTCAGGGAAACCGGTTATTTTCATATAGTCGGACTTGAGTCCTGGAAATGGGAAGTACAATGCCTTCACTTTAAAGGAGGGGTTTGGGATATTGGCAGTTTGGAGGGATATGTTGTGTATCTTTATACATATTTGCTTCTAAACTGTTGTATTCTGAGCACCTCTGCAAAAACAGTGATAATGTGTGAGTGTGGTGAAAGTGTTGATTGATGATGAAAGTATTTTCTTTTTGGGGATTTTCTTTCTTTTTTGGGTCACCCTGCCTTGGTGGGAGACGGCCGACTTGTTGAAAAAAAAAAAAAATTAGAGGAGTCTGATAGATGTCCATATAATGTGCACATCTTCAGTAAAGTTGCGCTTTTCTTTTCTCAAAATTTTCTTTAGGAAGTTTGCAGAATTGTTTGTTTCTAATCAAGTCTGAAAGTAAATGAGACAGTACTGTACATAATTTTTTAAGCCATACATTTTTAATATCTTGTATGGGGGTGGATTACAGTTGGTCACGATATTGTCGGAAAAGCCCATAGGATGCAGAGCATTTCTATCAGAATTAAATCTTAAATAGTTTTAACACATGGTAATAATAAAATATGTTATGAGCGTTTGTCGAATACCACTGCAGTGGCACTCGGCTGTAGGCTCAGTATGTACTTATAAACAATACACAGACAACTCGCACATAGGAGAAATAAACTCATGACTACATTTTGGCCCAACTTGTGACTAGTTAAAGGCCCAAGTCGGACTGAAACATCCTCATAAGTTTCTTTCTCTTATGTGTGAGCCATTTATGTATTGTTCCAGTTGTAGTATTGTGCCTTTTTATTTGTTATAAGCAAGTTGTTTGGAAGTATCAACCCTGTAGACTTGTCACTCTAAAAGTACATAAAAGAAATCATTTCCTACAGAGGTGGAAGGATGCCCCACCATGCACTGTTGTAGAGTTAATAGCTCAGTTCTACTTTCACGGAATGTAAAATAGGGAAAATTTATTCTGCATGGTCAGATCATAGAGGGTGGCCTATAAGAAAACAGCAGAAATAATAAACCTGTACAGTACACATTTATTTTCTCCACAGATATGATGCAAATTTAGTTCATGCAAAAAAAGCTGGAGTGAAGCGAGGTCTGATGACAGGATTTGGAATGGGATTAATGTGGTTCATCATTTATGCAGCTTATTCCTTGGCTTTCTATTATGGAACAGGACTCATTCTTAAATCTCGTGAAGGAGATGGTTCATTTGATCCTGCAAAGCTCATCATTGTAAGTGATTGTATTTCTGATAGATAGTGTTGCAGACATGCATATTATGTGCAACTATTGTACTTAACAACTGTACTTATTATTACATTTTCAAGTTCGTGAAGGGGTGAACTGATCTTTTAGTCAAGCCTTCTAACTTTCAACAAACTGACAAATATCTGTTGTATCATCTTTTGAATCTTTGCATGGAGTTTATTTACATTTTGACAGCAAAACATAGATCCCAGGTTATACAACAAGGGGGAATTTGGCCTGTATGTTATAGTCACTCATATGCTTGGAATTACTCAACACCTCCAGTGATGTAGTTAGTTTTGGCAGTAAAGATTGAAAACCAAAACCTTGTCATTGTGGTTGTATACAAGCCTCCTGATGCAACTTCCCAACAATTCCAGGAACAGCTTTCGAAAATTGACTACTGTCTGGAAAATTTCCCAACTCCTGCCCCAAACATCTTGCTGCTAGATGATTTCAACTTAAGACACCTAAAATTAAGGAATGTAGCAAGTAATGTTTTAGCAGTGATAACTCCAGGAGGCAGCTCAAATGAAAATCCACACACACATGAGCTACTAAATCTCTGCAACAAATTCACCTTAAGCCAACAAGTAGTGGAACCAAGAAGACTGGAAAATACACTTGACCTCATCTTCACTAATAATGATGACCTAATATGAAAGACAGTACACTCAAATCATAATATAATGGAAATAGAGATATGTATGCACAGGGCTCCTGACAGGCATAAGATCAGTTATGAGGGTGCCTTCACCAAATTCAACTTCAATAACAGAAGCATACAGTGGGATCAAATGAACCATGTCCTAAATGAAACAAGCTGGGAAGATATCCTAAACAACATGGATCCAAATCTTTGCCTAGAAAAATTAACTCTGTGGCACTTAGAGGTATGCTTAAGGCACATTCCTTTAAGAAAAAAGATGAGATATAAACTAGAAAGAGAGAGACACTACCTATACAGGTGAAGGAGAAGAATCACAGAGCTGCTGAAAGGAGCCAGTATATCTGAAATATGAAAGGAGGCACTTTTCAGAGAAATAGCAAATATCAAACTTAAGATTAAGGAATCATACAGGAGACAAGAAACACAGGAAGAACTTAAAACCATAAATGAAATTGAAAATAATAAAAAAATTAACTCTTTTCTTATGCCATATCTAGGGAAAACACAACATCCAGTGTTGGTCCCCTGCTTAATAATAATAATAATAATAATTATTATTATTATTATTATTATTATTATTATTATTATTATTATTATTATTATTATTAACACACTGGCCGATTCCCACCAAGGCAGGGTGGCCCGAAAAAGAAAAACTTTCACCATCATTCACTCCATCACTGTCTTGCCAGAAGGGTGCTTTACACTACAGTTTTTAAACTGCAATATTAGCACCCCTCCTTCAGAGTGCAGGCACTGTACTTCCCATCTCCAGGACTCAAGTCCGGCCTGCCGGTTTCCCTGAATCCCTTCATAAATGTTACTTTGCTCACACTCCACCAGTACGTCCAGTATTAAAAACCATTTGTCTCCATTCACTCCTATCAAACATGCTCACACATGCCTGCTGGAAGTCCAAGCCCCTTGCACACAAAACCTCCTTTACCCCCTCCCTCCAACCATTCCTAGGCTGACCCCTACCCTGCCTTCCTTCCTCTACAGACTGATACACTCTTGAAGTCATTCTGTTTCGCTCCATTCTCTCGACATGTCCGAACCACCTCAACAACCCTTTCTCAGCCCTCTGTTCATCAGTTTTGGCAATCCCGCACCTCCTCCTAACTTCCATACTACGAATTCTCTGCATTATATTCACACAACACATTGCCCTCAGATATGACATCTCCACTGCCTCCAGCCTTCTCCTCGCTGCAACATTCATCACCATGCTTCACACCCATATAAGAGCATTGGTAAAACTATACTCTCATACATTCCCCTCTTTGTCTCCACAGACTCATTTATTATTATTATTATTATTATTATTATTATTATTATTATTATTATTATCTACTGGATCACTATTATATAGTCTTGGATGCTCCAAAGGACAAACAGAATGTAGATGCAGTAGTATATGTGTACACTGTGAGAAAGCTTTCAGTATGTGCAGTCATGGTGTAATAGCACACAAAATTCATGATAAAGGAATAACAGGAAAAGTTGGTAGATGGATATATAACTTCTTAACAAACAGAACACAAAGAGTAATAGTAAACAGAGTAGAGTCAGAGGCTGCTGCAGTGAAAAGTTCCGTTCCACAAGGTACAGTACTCGTTCCATCCTGTCCCTCACCCTCATATCTGACATAGAGAAAGATGTAAGCCACAGTACTGTGTTCTTTGCGGATGATGCCCGAATTGGCCTGTTATCATTTGCCCAAATCTTTGGCTCAGTGTGGTTTAAGATTTTTTATGCAAAACAGTGTTCCTTGCCACACTGCAAACTCTCTTTCATTGGTTTTGTGTCTATGAAGTACCCTTTTTCATTGACTGTCCAGGAAACTTCCCAGATGTGAACCCCACATTGAAAACCTCTGGGTCCAGATAAAGAGAGATCTATTAGGGAAAGATATCAGCCCATTTCCACAGCTTTGACACCGTCTGTAGAGTTGTGGGCCCATAAAGCCCCAAATGATATGTTAATCACTTCTAGGCAGCTGAAGGATGTCCTAAAGTGCAAGGAACATAAAACATAAATAATTTTCTTGGCAGGAATACCACATCTTCATAATACATGGAAAAGGTCTTTTATGTGTATCTAAACAAATATAATTCTCGAATAATAGTTTGTTACATATGGAAGCATAAAACTATACACGTATATAATTTTTAGTAAATATAAGCGTACACACACAATTTGCATACATGTTTTGTCTGTAATTTTTTTTTTACATTTATTCAAGGTGTTCTTCAGTGTTCTGATGGGAGCTATGAATGTTGGTCAGGCTGCACCATATGTAGAAGCCTTCAGTGTTGCCAGAGGAGCTGCTAGTACTATCTTCGATATAATCGAAAGGAAATCAACCATTGATCCTACAAGTTCAGATGGAGAGAGACCACCCACTGTAGAGGGAATCATTGGTAAGGTTTTTAAAGACATAATGTATATTTTTTTAATGTATATGTACTGTACATATACAAAAAATACAGGTAATTCTGACATATGCCTTCCAGCAATTATAATCATTTCTTCCCTGACAAGTTTTTTTTTTCTTCTTCTTTTTTTTTTTTTCCCCCAACAAGTCGGCTGTCTCCCACCGAGGCAGGGTGACCCAAAAAAAAGAAAGAAAATCCCCAAAAAGAAAATGCTTTCATCATCATTCAACACTTTCACCACACTCACACATTATCACTGTTTTTGCAGAGGTGCTCAGAATGCAACAGTTTAGAAGCACATACGTATAAAGATACACAACATATCCCTCCAAACTGCCAATATCCCAAACCCCTCCTTTTAAAGTGCAGGCATTGTATTTCCCATTTCCAGGACTCAAATCTGACTATATGAAAATAACCGGTTTCCTTGAATCCCTTCACTAAATATTACCCTGCTCACACTCCAACAGATCGTCAGGTCCCAAGTACCATTCGTCTCCATTCACTCCTGTCTAACACGCTCACGCATATATATATGTATACAGGTCTCCCTCAACATTCGCAAGGGTTAGGGGATCAAGAGCCTCGCGAATGTTGAAAAACCGTGAATGTTTGGTGCCCCAATATATTGTAGGGAAATATATTACAATACTGCTTCCTTAACTTGTTGAACCATGAATAATCATAAAATACATGAAAACGTCGTAAATTGTACTAAATATATACAGTGGTCCCTCAATAATCGTCCGTAATCCGTTCCTGGAAGGGACTATTATCGAAATGGACGATTTACGAATCAATTTTCCCCATAAGAAATAATGTAAATTCAATTAATCCATTCCTGACACCCAGAAGTATTAATACAAAATTTTTTTTTACATGAAATATAGATGTAGTACATAAACAATACAGTGGCACATGATGAATTAAACATTAACAAAATAACACTTACCTTCATTGGCAATTCTTCTTTGTGTATGGAAGACTGGAGAAGGAGACTGGATGAATTACTGTTTGGAAAGGGAATCCCCTTCCATCAACACCTTGGGTACCAATTGCTTTTCTGGGGTTACTTCTCTTCTCTGTTTCTTAATGCCACTAGGACCACCTTGAGAGTCACTGGAGTCCTGTCTCGCAAAAAAACTGTCCAAAGAGCTCTGTTTCTGGCGTCTCTTTAAAACTTCCCTAAAATGGGCCAAGACTCTGTCACTGTGCAAGTTGCCGATATGGCTTGCAACATCCTTCTCTGGGTGATGTTTCTCCATAAATCTTTCCATCCTACCCCACATTTCAAAAATCTTCTTAATTTCTGAAGAAGGCACCTTCCTCCATCTCTCTTCCTCCTCCTCTGCAGCAAGATTCAGAGCTGCCATCTGTTGCTGTTCCTGTGAAGCTCTTGCAGCTCCTCAGTGGTTAGCTCTTTGTTGTGGTCCTCCACCAACTCTTCCACATCCTCCAAACTCACATCCAACCCCATGGAAGCCCCCAGTGCCACAATGGATTTAACAACTGACATAGGCTCATCAGGGTCAGCCCCAAACCCTTCAAAATCCTCTTGTGGACACAATCTGGCCACAATTTTCTCCAAGCAGAGTTCAAAGTCCTGGTAGTCACTCTCCCAAGCCTTACTATAAGGCTTACACAATGGAGAATACTGAAATGTTCTTTCCAAAAATCTCGTAGGGTCAAGTGAGTGTCTGAGGTCACATTCAAGCACCTTTCAAACATTGCTTTGGTGTAGAATTTTTTAAAGTTTGCAATGACCTGCTGGTCCATGGGTTGGAGGAGAGGAGTGGTATTCGGGGGCAAGAACTTTACTGTGATGAACCCAAACTCCTTCAGAATTAGGTCATCCAAGTTTGGAGGATGAGCAGGTGCATTGTCCATTACTAGGAGGCACTTGAGATCCAATTTCTTTTCCAGGAGGTAATTCTTCACACTAGGGCCAAACACTTCGTTGAACCACTCTACAAAAATTTCCCTCGTGACCCATGCCTTACTATTAGATTTCCAAAACACACACAATTTACTCTTCATAACATTGTTTTTCCTGAAGACTCTGGGATTTTCAGAATGGTACACTAGTAACGGCTTCACTTTGAAATCCCCACTAGCATTAGCACAGAACATTAGCATCAGCCTGTCTTTCATAGGCTTGTGTCCTGGCATTGCCTTTTCCTCTTGTGTAATGAAGGTCCTCTTTGGCATTTTCTTCCAAAAGAGGCCTGTTTTGTCACAATTGAACACTTGTTCAGGTTTCAGTCCTTCACTGTTTATGTACTGGAATTCATGCACATATTTTTCAGCCGCCTTGTGGTCCAAACTGGCAGCCTCACCATGCCTTACCACACTGTGTATGCCAGTACGCTTCTTAAATCTCTCAAACCAGCCTTTGCTAGCCTTAAATTCACTCACATCATCACTAGTTGCAGGCAATTTCTTTACCAAATCGTCATGCAACTGCCTAGCCTTTTCACAAATAAGTGACGTCATAAGACTGTTTCTCATTTATCCACACCAATAATAACTTCTCAACATCTTCCAGTACTGGTGATCTCATTTTTGTCAGCATATTTACCCCCTTTGCAACAACAGCGTCCTTGATTTCTTTTTCTTGGCTATGATGGAAGATATGGTTGTACGGGATTTGTTATACATCCTGGCCAGTTCGCCCACATGTACACCACTATCATATTGTTCAATATATTTCTCACCTTCTTTACCAAAGGCTTGGCACTAGGAGCTTTCTTTGGAGCCATGGTAGCTTATTTAGCACTTAAATAACTTGCAAGCACTAAAATAAATGAAATATTATGAAATATTTCACTGGAGCACGTGAGGGGACCGTCGCTCACTGGTAAACAATGCCACACTGGCTGGGATGGAAAGGCCGAGGCGGCTTGAGGCCGCTCAGACTGTGCATACGTGTCCGGGACGAAGGACTATTAGCGAGTTACCGGACCATTTCCGAGCCAATATTTTGACGAAAAAACAGGACTACGTATTTCCGAAATGGACGACTTTCAGGCCGAACGATTATTGAGGGACCACTGTACATGTTATGCTTTAATAACGTATGTTATTTAATAACATGTATGTTATTAAATACCACAGACTCCACCAATGCCTCCACCACTGCGAGTCCCTACTACCCTCCCACCGACCCCCGCAACTGGCAGCCAGCCTTCCCACCACTCATTGTGGTGAGTGTTTTGTTTGTTCATTATTTATTATTAAACTACAGAATAAATAATGTAAACCCATTCATGACTGCGTATTGGAATGGCTATTAGGAAAGGTATTAGACGGTGACATCATGTGTTTACTCTTGAACACAGCAAAGAATCGAACATTTCTGCTATTGCTAATAATAACAATAATAATAATAATAATAAATAATAATAATAATAATAAATATGATATAACTGAAGAAGGAAATAGTACAAAAATACGAGGGAGTGGTTGACACATCGTCAGTATGGCTTTGTTTATGCTGGAGTGAACATTAGTCTCCCTGCTCTTCCAAACATTTCACAATAATTCAGTGGTTGAGGCAGTGGTATTTAATAACATATATGTTATAAATAATAATAGTACATGTTATTATTAATAACATGTATTATTATTAACATGTATGTATTTAATAACATATATGTTATAAATAATAATAGTACATATTATGATAGTGGATAGAGGAGCAATGTGGCAGATGTTGCAAGTATATGGAATAGGTGGTAAGTTACTAATGCTGTTAAGAGTTTTTATGAGGATAGTGAGGCTCAGGTTAGGGTGTGTAGAAGAGAGGGAAAATATTCCAGTAAAAAATAGGTCTTAGACAGGGATGTGTAATGTCACCAT